ACAAGGAGAGTACGTAGTGTAGAGGAGGGAGTATTATTTAGAGACAGACTAGTAGAGGAGGAGTATATTAGTTAGAGAGAGACTATGTAGAGAAGGTAACTTCTCTGCTAACTTGAGTTTTTAGAGAGAGATGGAGAAAGAGACAGTGATTTGAGAGAGATTATGTTAAAGAAAAATAAAAAAAATTGGAGAAGGCGTTATTTTAGTGTTTTTTTGGATAAAAAATTCATGGTCAAAGGGGTCCGGGGGTGGTAAGATAGAAAAGATGGAAGCATTTTGTTTACTAGTAATATTTTCAATCTTTGGGTCTCATGAGATATAGAAGTCAAAAATAGAAAATAAAAATATATTTTTCCTAAATATAAAAGGTATAATTATACTTGTGTGTATATGGCCAATTGCTCCTTATGGAATATTTCATCTCTAACCACTGATTAGCGATGACAGAAACAAGATGATATGTCGGCATTGTTTTCATGTGTTGGTGTATTTAAATACAATGCACTTATACCCTTAACTATGATATCATTAATTGTACTTTAAAATGGGAAAATTATGCAATGGAAATCATGTATACATAACGATATGAACCAAGCTGTCTCAACCTTTGGATGTCTATTGCTTCTGTACTCTCATCTTGAGGAAGATTGGGACTTGTAATTATGTTTTCTACCTTACCACTTCAAATTTTAATTTTTTTTTTGGGTAGTTTAGCAGGGAAGGGATCCCCTATCAATAATAAGAATGGAACATTATATTGGGGTATCTTTTCACCCTAACCCCCTAAACTTGAGCCCAATCCTTTAAATGTAATTTTGCTCAGTATTGGGTTTGTGTTTGAGTTTGAGTTTGAGTTTTTAAGTGTTTATAATTGTAACATAGTGTTGCAATACTCAATTCCGAACTTTAAACTAGGCAAAAAGAGAAGAAGGGAAGAGGCAATCTGGTAGGAAAAATGTGCAATTTCTACATTACTGTCAAACCCACATCCACCTCCCAAAGTTAGATTCTGGTGGACTACCTATGCATACATAATGTCTGGCACATTATTTTCCCACCAAAAAATTTCCATGTTTGGCTAAATTAATCATCTTGATTTAGTATGATAAGTTTCCATGTTTTCTCCTTAATGTCATTAAAATATGTCACTGCAAATTACATTACCCAAGACACAGGTAGAAACGAAGGACATCATCAAAAGTTCCATCCATGAAAATAGGTTCATGTAGTCCCACAATCGAAACACCATAGTTTCATAATTATCAAGACTGGGCCGAACCGGTCCAACTAGTTAGATTACCAATTGATGCCTTTGTTAGTTTAGTTTTAAAAAAATAAACAAGTTTATTCTAAAATGGATCAAAATCATGTTTGCTCAGTTGGACTATATGTGTTTGATCCAATGGTTTAAAAAACGGATCGGTGACCCGGATCGGGCTTCCAAAAAACCGATCCAAATAGGCGAATCGGCGATCCGGATCGCGAATCGGGTGAATCGGTCATAATAAAGCTTAAAAAAAATT